CAGGTCACAGGGCAGATGTAAATTTCAAGGAAAGCCAGGCCTTATCCCATATCACATTATTTGATGGGATTGTCGATGAAGCAAACGTATTTTTGCTATAACAATCGACTACATTACATATTCTTCATATATAAGCAGAGCTTCGAGACTATCAGTAAATCAGTTATATGACACGAAAAATAAGTTATGTAGTCGATTGTTATAACAAAAATACCCTTACTATATTAGCAATCTCATTAAATAATGTGATATGGGATAATCCTGGTTTTCCTTGAAATTCGCATCTGCCCTGTGACCCAGGGGCACTCGTGGCAATGTAGCTGAGTGGCTTACGTGTCAAGCTCACATGTTGCACTGTCACGGTTTGACTCCCTCTGGGAGTGTTGATAATATCTAGGCTAAGTCAAAATTACAGTCTACCCTGAATAAGAACAACTTTTGGGAAAGCAAGGCTAGGTGAAATTCAATGGAAAACGTCACTTCTACTCGTATCATTGTAGGAAAATTCTAATACCAGCCCTTCATCACCTTAAACGAAATAGGGTGAATACATTTAATTTAATTTAGCTTTATATACATTGCCTAGGATATTCGCTCATCCTGTTTTTGCGTATTAAGCATAATTAATATTATTGAATAACTAATTCACTTAAGCAAGCGGAGCCTGAGTTTCAGATACATCGAGCTGTGGACACCTCTGAGGGTGTCCTCGCAGACCCACTTGTCAAACCAAATGGCAAGCAAAAACCATCAGTCACCGATCTTCTTCAAAAAATTAGTGCGCAAGGTGATGATTTACCTTCGACCAGACAACTTATGGCGAGACATATTCACCTGGCCGAAAAGCATGGAGAGGAAAGTGATAATCATATTGAGCATGAAGATGAGGAAGGTGGGGAAGATGAATGCGAGATCGATTTAGAGAAGAAAGATATAGAAGAATTATCAATTCGCGAGGTAGATGCTAAGGATGCTGGCCAAAGGCATCAAATTCCACAATCGTCATGTCCTCTCACGGCCGTATTACCACATACCAGCCTCGAACTAACACCACAGGACCTCGATCAACAATCTTCTTTCATCATTGAATGTGAGTTCTGCGTATCTTGGCAGAATTTATATATCATCATAAAACTTTCTTTATGCTAGGTCATTACTGACTTTATTTTACTTTTGAACTACTGCATTTATATACCTACAACTTCTAAGAGGCATTCTTTTTCAGACTTCTATTTTTTATCAAAATACTTATAGATATTTTACGTGCATTCATGTATACCTAATCAATATAATTCATCATGTAAAACTTTTTTCTCTACTGAAGTGTTGTCCCTTTTGATATTGTTATAGACAATAAGTTCTATATAAGAATTAAGGCTTCGCACCATTACTTTTCATTTGCACCAATGATCCTATTAAAAATCAGCCATTTACACGAGCTTTATTATATATACGAAGAAGGCTGGCGTAATTTTTCCATTATCTTGACTTCTGTATAATTTTTATTCACTTCTCCCTAATGCTGGTGGTCAGTACTTGGTATTTTATGCTACGAAAAGCTGCACACACTGATTGAACTACACTTTTTTGATGAGTCAATTGAAGGAATAAATTTTGCTGATGTGACTAAGGCTGTTTGCTTTAAAATGCTGATAATCCATGCAACCATGATTAGTGAGGGTGTGGAAGACGGTCCTTGCAATGTGGTTTGTTTGAATTTTCTTGTTTT